TTAAACTTTTTTTTGTAGAGATGGGGTCCCACTATGTTGCCCAGGCTGGTCTTGAACTCCTGGGCTCAAGTGATTCTCCCACCTCTGTCTCCTAAAGTGCTGGGATTACAGGTTGCCCAAGTAGCTGGGATTACAGGCGCCTGCCACCATGCCCAGCTAATTTTAGTAGAAACGGGGTTTCACCATGTTGGCCAGGCTGATCTCAAACTCCTGGCCTCCGGTGATCCGCCCACCTGAGCCTCCCAAAGTGCTGGGATTACAGGCATGAGCTACCAGGCCTGGCCAGGTTGCCCTAGTCTTAAACCCACCCAGATGGAAACCCTACATCTGAAACCTCCATCTCTTCTGCCTTTCCCCAGGGCACTTTGCCACCATCACCTTGACATTCATCGACAAGAATGGAGAGACTGAGCTGTGCATGGAAGGTCGAGGCATCCCTGCTCCTGAGGAAGAGCGGACGCGGCAGGGCTGGCAGCGGTACTACTTTGAGGGCATTAAACAGACCTTTGGCTATGGCGCACGCTTATTTTAGGGCCAGCGGCAGGGGACTCTAGCCTGCCGGACACTTCAGTCCAGCCCTCTCCTGACTGGGGCTTGCGACTCACAGGATTGCATCGTCCTAGCCGCTAACTTGGGGCCGGGACCCCTCCCCTCCACATATACCTTGGGTTTGTGCATGTTTTCTGCTGGGTGGGTTCAGAGGGTAATTTCTCTTTTATGTGTACATATGCTAAATAAACGTAATTTAAAAAACATGCATGTCTTGGAACCTGTGTTGATTGGGTGGCGGGTATTAAGAGCTCCCTTGAAGGTTTTGAATTCAAAAAAGAAGGACCAGGTGGACAGCCTTGTCTCTATTCTGGGTTAAGTGTGGCACAGAGCCTGCCTCTCACTACCAGGCATTCCTGAGCTAGTCTTTCTTACTGGTAAAAAGTTTCTCCCTTTTTACCCATAAAAGTAGGGAGGGCTGGTACTCGGGTGGAGAGTGCTAACACTATGCCTCTACTGCCGGTGCAGGCAACTTCCAACTTCCCCAACTTTGCACTGCCCATGGCCTCCTACCCTCTTGCAAAGATAAGTGGTCACCAGGTGCTGGTTTGGGATATGGAAAGATGGGAGATTCCTAACTTGTGATAGCTTGTTACATTGCAGTTACTGAGTACCAGACACTACACTGTTTGCTTGCATTAACTCATTTAAATATCTCCATAATCTTTTTTTTTTCCTCCTCCTCTCCCGCACTCCATAATATTCTTAGGAAGTAGATACTGTTGTGATTTGTTCTACAAGAACTTAAGCCTTGCCTTTTAAATACATGTATTTTACATATAGTCAGGCGCAGTGGCTCTGGCCTATAATCCCAGCACTTTTTTTTTTTTTTTTTGGAGGCGGAGTTTCACTCTTGCTACCCAGGCTGGAGTGCAATGGCGCGGTCTCGGCTCACTGCAAACTCCGCCTCCTGGGTTCAGGCAATTCTTCTGCCTCAGCCTCCTGAGTAGCTGGGATTACAGGCACACGCCACCATGCCCAGTTGATTTTTTGTATTTTTAGTAGAGACGGGGTTTCACCATGTTGACCAGGATGGTCTCGATCTCTTGACCTCGTGATCCACCCGCCTTGGCCTCCCAAAGTGCTGGGATTACAAGCGTGAGCCACCGCGCCCGGCCTTAATCCCAGCACTTTTGTAGGCAGAGGCAGGTAGATCACTTGAGGCCAGGAGTTTGAATGTGATGGCTGGCGCCTGAAATCCCAGCTACTTGGCAGGCTGAGGCACAAGAATTGCTTGAGACCAGGAGGTGTAAGCCAAGATCGCACCACTGCACTCAAGTCTGGGTGACAGTAGGACTCTGTCCCAAGAAAATACGTATTTGCCACAGGTAAGTCTTGGGTTTCTTTTTTTTTTTTTTTTTCGAGACCGAGTCTCGCTCTGTCACCTGGGCTAAAGCATGGTGGTGTAATCTCAGTTCACTGCAGCCTCCGTGTTCCGGCTCAAGCGATTCCCGCCTCAGCCTCCCAAGTAGTTGGGATTACAAGTGTACGTCACCACGTCCAGCTAATTTTTGTATTTTAGTAAAGAACAGGGTTTTACTATGTTGGCCAGGATGGTCTCAAACTGCTGACATCAGGTGATCCGTCTGCCTCGGCCTCCCAAAGTGCTGGGATTACAGGCGTGAGCCACCACGCCCAGCCTGGATTTAACACCCAGATCCAACAATTAAGCAGAATTGAGATTTGTAACAAGGACCATAACTGCAGAGCCCATGCTCAGGAAACGCTAGTCTTTACTTAACAATACATGGTACCATTAAGTTGGCTGGGCACTGACCACGAGCCAAGTGTTGGGGATACAGTGGGTTCAGACTGCCACACTGCAGGAAGAGGTAACAGCACCTCGACAGGGAGAGTCACTCCTGGACAAGCCTCGCCCTGACTTGCTGCACCCCAGTGTGAGTCGGTGCCCTCTAAGCCAGACACTACCTCCTGCAGCTACGGCTATCTCCTTCATCTATTTTTTGCCTCTTTCAGTAGGTGGCAGCCAGACCTTGCAGGCTAAAACTGGCTAAAGCAGAAATCAAGAGTTCAGATCTGGATCATTTAGACACCCCAAAGCCATTTTTGGCTTGAATTACTCAGAAGAGTGCTGAGCTGAACTAATCCACATCTAATTTCGCATTACATCTGCCTCCTAGGGGTCCAAAATGACGCCTTTTGATGAAGAACCTGGACTCTAGCTTGAATCAAATCAACAGACCCTTCCTAGCAGATTCCTGCTACTAACACAGAGAACATTTAAAAAGGAGCCTTTCGCTGGGCACGGTGGCTCATGCTTGTAATCCCAGCTCTTTCGGAGGCTGAGGCAGGCAGATCACTTGAGATCAGGAGTTCAAGACTAGCCTGGCCAACGTGGTGAAACCCTGTCTCTACTACAAATA